CCTTGCCATGTGTTTCCTGGCAGCAGAGTGACTCCTCGCACCCGCAGAGCGAGGCTTTCTCGTGGGTTTTTTTTTTTCTTGTTGAAGCGACGAAACCTGGGAGCGTGACTTCCGGCTTAAGCGACGGCACATGACCCCGGGACCGCAGTGGTGTCACTGGAACGCCCCCCACCTCCCACCTCACCTGCTGCCACTGTTACAGTGGCGAGAACAGTCTGTGGCAAACTTAAAGGGACTCTGCCTTGTTCATTCCATGCCACGTCACAAGCGTAGAGGGCACAGAATGTTACTGAGGCAGCAGACACACGTGCAGAGCGTGAATGAGCACATGGTGGCGAGAGCAGGGGACCCTTCACTGAAGGAGGCGACACTCACGGTGACACGCTAATGAAACACGCGTGTCATGGCAAACACTACATGGTTACAACATTTACTATTAACAGAGATACACAAATGCATATTAATTTACACTAAAATGCAATGCGGTGCAAAGCATGCTGGTAACTGCATAATTAGTCTTACTGACCAACCGCGCTGCGTCACATTTTTGTCAGCCAATCGTGGGGGTGGCATCAGAACGATGGGACACTGCACACGGGGACGATCCCCATGCCGGTTATGGCTCATATGGTGAGGCATCGCCGAAACGATGTTGATTCCGTCGATTTTCGTCTGAAGTATATGGAGGGGAGGTAAAGATTAAGGTTGTCTTAATATCAGCATGGCTCCAGGTGGAGATGACTGGGCTTGAGCTTTAGTTACACACACGACTGTGCAGCACAAGGCTCTTTAGCAGGAAAACGCTCCTTGAATCTAATTTAGTCAGCGCTGGATCTCTGGGTGATGTTAGTATATGCAGTCTGTCATTACGCAGCACATGTTTAAAAGAGGCCCTGTTGTGATTTCTTGGTTTTCCCCTTTCCTTGAGTGTGTTGTGTTTCCTTTCATGCGTGTAAAAGGTCTGCAAAGTCTTAAGGCCCAAAGACGACACTAAATAGAGTAGTTCTCAGTCTACTGTAATCTGCCTGAAACGTCTTGTTGAAATTCCAGCCCTTACTTCTGTGACAAGGTCATCTCATAGCACAATCCTTATTGGCCACTTGCCCGGCAGGATCTGTCTGCAGACTGCAAAACAAGGGCGGAACCTGTAGGGCAAGCTGACCAATCAGAGCATACTGGGCTCTTTGGGGGTGGGGCTTAAACCTCTAACAGTGTGTTTCAGAGTTATAGACAGTAGAGATGTACAGTATGAGAAATGTTTCTGGAAGCATGTAAATCTGTTGTAATATACCCTAAAAATAAAATTATAAACAGTGAAAATGAGCATAATAAGGCCCTTTCAATGACCATGGACAATAGATCTCCCCGTGGGAAAGTCCCACCTCTGTCCATTTGAAGGGGCAGCTGGAAATGACCTTGTTCAATGCCCCACCCGCCCACAGGAAATTTGTTGTAAATTGCTTCAAAGAATGTGGATATTTATTCAGAGCTTAGTACTAGTTTGAACTAGTTGATTATAATTGTCATGTTTCCACCCTGTCGCTTGCATATCAGCAGAGCTACTTTGGAGTACTGCATATATTTACGTATATTTTGTTTCTAAATCTAATATATTGATTTTCTTTGAAAAAAGATATTTAAAGTCTCTCACCAGCACACTGACTTACGGTATAGCAGAATAATTTGTGTGACATACTCCAGGAACTGAAAGGCTCAGTATTGCAAAGCATGATTTAAATATCATTACAGCACAACTGTAATGCAAATACGTCTTAAAAGATGACATTCGTGCTTTGCAGACTTTGTCGACTGCCGATCCCCTGACAAACCACAAGTCCACTGTGGTACCAGTAATGTTTGTTTGTTTGTTTGTTTGTTTGTTTAATTTTTTAACTCAAACTTACAGATTTGCTGTCTGCTACATTTTAATCGATAATGTGCACTATTTAGAAAATTAATTTTACAGTTTTTGTATTGGATAAATGGAAAATTACACCTGACAATTTAATGTTTGAGTTTTGAATAACATTGTACTGTTAAGGAATGATTGTTTAAAGGAAGGTATTTCTTCCTATGTAGCTTATGCTGCCGCTGAATATTGTCTCTACTTTAAATTTCTCTGAGGTGATCATAACAATTAATGGGAAGGTTTCTGATAGATGCGCTACTCTGATGTCTATCTCGTCCGTCGTTATTACGTCTGTATTTCTGACAATGTACTTTTAGAGCCATGGGAAGTACAGCTTTACTGTTAATTGGTTGAGATTGTAGTATTGAGGTGTTTTTTTTTCTTTTTTTTTTTTGGGCATACCTCAGCATACCTTAAGTTCATTACAGCCATATGACCACAGTGTCGTCGTCGTCGTCGTCCCCCCCCCCTTTCATAATCATCTGGCTTTGGGGGAAAAACGTCTTCCTTTTCAATAAATGTAATTTATGTGTATTTCAGTTGATAACCAAATGTCAGTCTCACTGTACGTAACCAACGGGGAAACATTTTACACTCCCTGACAGACCAAAAACATTGTATTTGGATATGTTATGTAACTCATTGTTATGTAGAATGTTATTTTCGAAACAAACACACACACGCACCTTGATGGAGAATTGAATGCATCAAAGAAAATATCTGTTTATGAAATTCATTACTGAGGAAGCTAATGATATATTCTTAGGTAGCGATATGTTTTACTGATTATAACCCTACATTTAGCTTCGCAGTAGGGGTGTGCAAAGCAGCCGGTATTTGTATCTGTATTTGTATTTGTTGAGGGGGGAAAAGTATTTGTATTTGTATTCGTATTCGAGTAAAATTCAAAATAGGCGTAAAAATCCAGTTTTTTTGCGTTGCACTTCTAATTTACGCTATAGTGTAAGTATTCTTTAATTATATCCATTATAATAATTATGGATATGCAGTAGACAGAGTAACTTAAACGTACCATATAACTCCTACAAGTGCATACAATTCGACACAACTACACAAGCATTGTTTTAACCTTTTTAACCAAACGTTAACGTTACTCTGTCAACAGCCTATTGTCTAAATTACCGAGCTAACAGAGCGAACATGAGAACACCTGACTGCAGACGTCAATAATGCAGCGTAATGGAATAATCTCCCGATCAAACTCCGCTTCCCGAAAGTTATAAACTGCCTCCGGAACCCAGTTAAGGTACAAAAATCTATTCAACAAAAATAGTGATACAGTTAAGTCTTTTTTCGCTGAGCCGAGCCTTCTCTGTTACTGTGTGGAGCAGCCTGTGTCAGTCACCTCTGTTACTCCCCCCCCCGACTCCTGAACTCACTCACTCTTCCGGGCATGCACTGCGGTCTCAAGAGGAAACGCAGCTTTTTGATATAAAGTTTTTCTTGTTCCCGAATACAAATATTTTTTTAAGTATTTGTTCGAAATAAGTATTCGTAAAAAACACATTATTTGTGCCTTTCCGAATACCGTATTCGGGTTCGGCTCCACCCCTACTCCGCAGAGGTATTTTATTGATTACCGTACATTTAGCTTGGTAGCGATATGTTTACTTAATTGGCATGATTTTAATAATTATAACCGTGATAAATGGATAATAGCAATTTTTCTTTAATGATATGCATTTAACTGCAGACTTAATTATGTTGCATGTGATCCAGATCTTTATGCATAGACTGAAGCAGGAGCTGTATATACTGTAATGCTGAACAGATATATGAAAACGTTTATAAGAAGGTTACTGACCATTAACAGGGGTCCCCTCTCAATGCACTCTGCACTGCGACCCATAGCGCTTTTAGCAGTTAACTATCTTGCTTAATTTGCTGCCAACTGAAACATTAGTGCTTGTCTTGGCTACACATCTATGGCGCTATATGAAACATTCCTATCATATGGGAGATTAAAAGCAGACTAGCAGCTCCAGTACACCACCAGCACTAGTGGTGAGTGTGAAACCAGCTAAGCAGTTTCCTGTCTGAGTGCTGGATCAGCTCATCTCTCATTCCCGCGGTGACTCCAGTAGCATCTATATTCAAATTATCCCAGAACCCTGGGGATTCGTTAGTAGTTATAATAATAATAATAATAATAATAATAATAATAATAATAATAATAATACTACATTTTATTTTCAGCGCCTTTCAAAACACCCAAGGTCACTTAACACAACAAATCACAAATACATAAATAAAAAAAATTTAAAAAAAGTTATGTCATGGTGTATCACCCATTTATTGTCGGCCCGTATCATGGTTTCAGCTGCTGATTCATTTTCGGAACCCTTTACCACAGCTCTCAAGCCGTGCTGGAAGTCAAATAAAATCAATTTTACATTGTACTGCAACCTTGAACTTAGGAAAAGGCAGATGGATTATGCTGCGCTTTAAAATCAGGTTCCTGTAATACACCCATCTCAATTTCTGTTTGCCGTCTCATTGATCTTTTAAAACTGCTGCCATCAATGTTTAGGTATTCAGGAGGATCAGAAGTGCTTTGCTGCCCCATAGTGGTCGGTCAGTGTTCTGCCGCATTTGAATTCGATGTGAACTTTGCGTCCTTTTTAGCAATCAGGATCTTAAGATTTTCTTTTTTTTTTCTGCCCACTGAGGAAAAAATTTTATAAGGGGAAATAAAGGGAATGATTCTATAAGGCTGTAACTAATCAAAACGAGAACTGACTGGCGCTGGCAAGGCAAGGCTACCTAATCGGAACAGATAGAGGGGGCAACAGAGAACATCAGCGGCCCCTACTTATCTTTTAGCCTTCCAGAAGGACAACTACGAACCGACTAACTAGAGTAAATGTCAAACATGTGGTTGTCACCTAGACGGAAGGTACCGAGAGGGGGGGTGGGGGGGGGAGATGCCCAAAGGGCTTTAAAAGGGATACAGCTGATGCATATGGCAGAGCCTCCTCCTGTACATGCTGAATGTATGTCAGATGGTCGCTCCCTGATTATAATCAGTCAAGAGAATAAACCGGTGATTTGCAACTTCTCCCCGTGTCAGCTGTGAATCTCTTCTCATCCACGGACCCGGTGGAGACGGCGTACTCCAACACCACAGACGTTCCGCCACCCGAAAACGTGACCGTCCATTGTCACAATCTGGAGAACGTCGCTTACTGGAACTACAGTCAGCCCAGCCTTTTGCCACGGTTCGTGGTGTACGTTAATGGATACTCGAGGTAGGTTGTGTGTGTGTGTGTGTGTGTGTGTGTGTGTGTGTGTGTGTGTGTGTGTGAGTGTGATTTAGTGCATCTCCCTCGGGTTGTTCACCACAATTAATGCATCTCTGGCTGCAGTGGACCAGTACTGGTGCAGAGCTGCAACTACACTGGAGAGTACTTCTGCAACATTTCTGCTGAAACACGGAACGTTGATGAGCACTTCTACATAAACGTGACCGCCCTGGTGGGGACGAGCGTGTCCCTGCCCGCCGATTCAGCCCCGTTCTCCTATTCCACGTTCTATGATGGCCAGTGTAAGTGTTACCTCTTTACGGTGGGAAAGGCTTTTTTTTTTTTTTGCGCGTCACAGCTTCTGATTGGTTTGTCGGTGAATTGCATGTCTCCTCCAGGGCTTGCCCTGTCTGCCCCCTGCTGGCGGCGGATGCTCTGTGTTTAATGTCACCCGCGGTCCTGCAGGCACTGAGCTGCCACTTGATGTCACTGTTGAGCAGCCATTCATCCGACCGAATGTAAATGTTTCATTTAGAATAGTGGGGGTCGAGGTATAATATAAGTAAAGAGCTCTTCTGGCCCTGTGGATGAACCATGAGGCTCCGCTGGCTCTGATCCATTCAGAAGGACCCTGGAGGGAGATGCTGAAACATTGCAGTAAATCAGAAAGGGACTGAGGTCCTGATATAACAGCCATCCAGCTTAAATTTCGTTCAAAGGCTTTAAGAATCCCTCTTACAAAATTACAGGGGTCATTAGTTTAGGTGGTTTGGGAACAAATGCAAACTTATTGAATTATATTATTTGTAATTCAATTTCAGGCAAACTGGATTTCCCTAAACCAACCCTGAACATCGACCAAGACTTGATTAAGATTACATTCCTTCACCCGCTTTACCAATATGAGAAATTGCAGAACATCCGTAACATAAATGACTACAACGTGTTCAGGTTTGAGGTCATAACCAAGGATAAGGTGAGTAACTGTTGATGTTCTGCTCACCAGGGGCTCTGTCCTGGTTTCCCTCGTTCTTGACGAGAGCCGGAGTTCCCTCAATGCTGCCTCTTTGTCGTTACAGGTGACAAGTTTTGAATGCGACGCCGAAGAGGAGTTGCCCTGCACGGAGACTATTAAAGTGAATGGATCCGAAAGACACTGCTTAAGCTTAAAGGGAGGCATGAACGGCATTGATACCTTGCTAGGAGAGGAGGTGTGCATAGAGGTGCCCCCAAAACCCAGTAAGGAGGCCTTTCTAATGTGTTCCAAGCTGCAGATTTGCACCTTTCTGTTGGCTTTCGCGGTGTGTTCCACTCTTCTTAAGTCACGCCTATCTTACAGATTTGGGGTATTATGCTGTGGTCACCGCGAGCGCCATCACTGTCTTTGTCATCTTCCTGGTTTTTGCGGTAATGATGTACAAGAAGATCACCAGTGCCAACAGCTCCCTTCCCAAAACCATGGTAAGTTCTAGGGATTTCCAGTCGTCCTGGGTCTTGTAGGTTTGTCTCTGTGGAGGAATTTAACAGGGATGGTGCATAAAAAGCAGGTTCTGAAGCGGTATTCCTGAAGTCTGTGCTGACTGGGTGACCTAACCCTTGCTGATTGTTGTTCCCAGGTCTCGGTCTTCACGCACCAGTCCACGTCGACGGGCACGTTCGTAGTGAAGAGGGAGCCCATCCTGCTTCCAGAGTCAGTGGACAGCCCCACCAGCACAGACGGGCTTCTAAAAGATTTGGAGAACGCCCCTCTGAGCAGATGCGCATCGGACTCCGACCGCTCTCGCTTTATGATTGGCGTCTGCCAACCCGACGCATCGGAGGGCCGTCAGGGCAGCGAGGGCGAGGCGGACGAGACTGAGACCACGGGCATCAGTGGGTCAGGCTACGACCGACCCAAATTGCCCTTCGAGCAGCACGGCCGGGTCGAGATGGGCCCGGGGGACACCGTGGACAGCTACAGGAAGATTTAGGCTGACACCCCCCACTTATGTGCACAATCAGACCTTAGTTTTCCCCCCTCCCACCCTGAGCCTAGGACAGCTGGTGAAATACGGTCAAGCCCCCGCCTAAGTCCTGGTATCGTCACTGGTGAACCCGGCCTGGAAGCCCAGTAGCGGAATGTAATGGGAAAGTTTTCGCTGGTGCATGGGTGTGTGGGGGGGGGGAATATAAATCAGCAGTGCTTCATCCCAGCACCAGCCCCTCCTAGGAAACATATCATGTCAGTCTGCTTTCAGCGTGAGCACTGTTTCTGGGCCTACAGAGGCCAGCTAGGCAAATAGACGAAAGCTTCCTGTAGTTTAAGAGCCAAATCTAAGCAGTTACTGGACCAATAAAATAGTCACCCAAATAAATGCATGCAAGCTCTACATAGATAAACTTGATTAATCTCTGGGGGAAGATTAAGCATTTTCTGTGTCTGATGCAGTGGCTGGGCCAAAATAAACTGTAGTGTAGCTGCTCTCTCTATCTGGGTTAATGTTTTGCTCAACTCTGCCACATTTCTATGACTTTTTTTTCTTCTTGATTTGTTTGGCAGATGTGAAGGTGGCACTTGATCAAGTTTTATCTGTTAAGGTCATTTGTAGTTTTGTCTGTCTGATTTCTTAAAGTGCATCTCAGTAGGAAGAATTTCCAGTTACGCTTTTTTATTTTATTTTATTTTCAGTGTAAATATTCAACAAGTTGTCATTCTGCACTTCCTGTTTTATAGTGAAGCCTTAAATCTTCATTCTGGGTCCAGTGACTTATTAAACACTTATACATTGTTTCGGCAAATTACGCCAAGTGCACAGACAGTAAGAGACCTGCGTGACTGGATGGGTAGGATGCTGATCGTTCTGTGCGTGGATCACCTTGCTTGCCATGTTCCCCCGGAGTCATTTGTCTCATGGCCGCTGGGACTGGGGGGGCCCGCTCTTGGTGGCACAACTCGGTGGCTGTAGGTGCGAAAGGGGGGGACCTTGGCCGAAAGTCCGCATCACCCTCCCGTTTTGTTCAGTCATCTTTCTGCGGAACATGTAGGCTGCCCGCAATGTGCAACAGCAGCCAAACCACTAAGAATCTGACTGTATGTGACGATTGTTGGTCAGCCAGCATTCTAGCTGTGTGCTGTAAGTTTGACTGTGATTTTATGGTTGACGTACAGACTCTGTAACAGTGCCTTTGATAAGTAGGGTAGCGTTCGGTTTGCTTACTTTGCAGAGCGAGACTGAGAGATCTGCCATTGGCCAAAATCGGTAATAGAAAGGAAAGGAATGACGTATAAGCAGAGAGGACAGACGGGGGCAGGGGGCACAGGTGACGTGAGGCCGTTCGTTTTCCCCTGGCCCCTGATTACTGTGAAAGCACCTTGGAAAAACCCGATGTTGTGTAGCGGCAGCCCTGAGCCGCGTATGCATGCGGAGCAGGAAGTTTCTGCTGGCCGAGCGGAGCAGTGCTGAGCCGGAATGAGAGGTGGATCTAGGATGATGTCGAGAGAAATTTGCTGGAAAACATATATGGAAAGATAAGTACATATATTTGGAAAATTGCACATTTCCTTTGTCCTTTACATTTTTCAGTAAAAAAAAACCAAAAAAAAAACTCAAGTATAATTGTGGCTCTGGTTTGTGAAAGACCTTTATCGCCGAAGGGGGTCACATATGGCTCCATTGCTCAGTTTGAATCTCCAGATTTTGTTACCTGATAATTTCCAGCCATGCAGCTTTTAGGCATTGCCGATGGCCTACCTTTCCTCTCACTGCAGTGATTGCCGACGGCCTACCTTTCCTCTCACAGCATGTGATTGCCGATGGACTACCTTTCCTCTCACTGCAGTGATTGCCGACGGCCTACCTTTCCTCTCACTGCCGTGATTATACTTTACTCACATATGCTGATTTACAATGTATCACATATTAATCATTACATCATTAAAATCATCCGAAGCAGCTTCTCTCCGTTTAATCAGAATCTCACTCTTCCGTTTCTTTGCCATCTCAGCCTGATGGCTGTATTATTTTTTGATTATTGATCAATTAAATGTGCATCGTATCGCTTACACTTCTGTGAAATACCATACCCTGCAATAAATAAAGGCACTGTTTATTTCGATAAACTAATGTTCTGTCCTAACTTGTTCAAAATAAAAATGTACCTGGGACAGCTGGTCCCGAGAAGCCTCATTTTGTTCAAAGAATTTAATTTATATTTTACCGGGGTAAAGCCATTGTTCATCTGCGGAATTTACAACGAGGGAACAGCGTCCTGCCTTTTAATGGCAAGTGTAAATCAGAAGGGGGAGCGAATGGGGGACACTGAAATACCGCGTCAGCCTCAATGGGAACGGCGCCGCGGCAACCAGGTCAAAAGGTTGCCAGGGTTCATGGCAACGGGCCCCCTGACCCTTCCCATAGGTGCCCCCCACCCTGCACAGAGCCCCGCTGGTCTGGGTTTCCCGCGTCCTCGCTGCGGTTTAGGGACACGCCTCCTCCTCCTCCTCCCTGAATTCCAGGGCTGGCAAGCAGAGGAGCCTGATTCATGGGGAACGGGACGGAACATGCTGGACCCAGACGACCTGGCTGAAGGCAAGGCAGGGCCGGGCCGGGCCGGGCCTGCAGCACCTAAGCCCCGCATTACTAGTGAAACTCAAGTGTTTTGTCATATAAACAATTTAAAGCGCAATATCCCCCCCGCATATGACATAGCAGTAATCAGCTCTGACTCTTTCATATTTACCATAAACTTGAAGTGGGTCAGAGCAAACACAAAGGGGACTGCGATGAGGAAACAGCGGAAAGGTCAGCCGCCATGTCACCACATCTGCTGATGATTTTACTGTCCCTGATCACGTTAACCTGAGAGACAAGCGATCGCTTCTCCTTTCATCTGTTCATTTACACCAGGTACCTAATAATAGTTAAGCATCACGTTCAGTTTGGCTCTGAAACCGCCCCCCCCCCCCAGTTTGTGTAAA